CTCTTTCTCTATCGCTCCGCTGATGTAATATCGCTTCATCATGCTGGGCAATGTGTGATACAGGATCAGGGCAAAGATCAGATTTGCTATTGTGAACGTAATATTGCATTATTTGTCATAATTTTGTGGATTACACAGCGTGACAAAAAATATATCCTTAAATAAATATTAAAATTGCATATGCATGGATATTATATAATAATAATTTAATTTATAATATCTACATCGAATAATTGGATACACCGCAGCATTGAATAATTTGTCATATTCGATGCTGTGGTTAATAAATGAAATTTTACTTGCGCGAACACGCGTTACACGATAGAGGGCTCCTGTAAATTTGATCACGCTAAATATAATGACCACGAACACAGGAGGGTGCATTACGCCCACAATTAGATATTTCCTATTTATGTCAAGGATGCTTCCTAATTTGAATTTTATCAAAGGTTTACACGCCCCGCCTTCGAATGTTGTTAGTATCTTAGCGTGCGAGAGCTAAGAGTCTGCACAATATTCGCGAAACATTCTCCGCTCTATATAATTAATACTAAATACTGATACGTTAATTATTCACAACAATTGGCGGAACCAGGCAGCTGCTAGCCAGTGTATTGCAATCTGGTTCGTTTGTCCGCTCAGCGAAAGTTGAATCGGTTTACGAGCTTATTCAACCGCGTCGGAATTTATAATCCGAAGAGGATGTTAGTGTCCGGCTGAGGGTGCATTCGTGTGTGAAATTTCTCTTGGTCGGTTTCTAACGAGCTTGTAATCTATAATAGCTCGTAATTTCACAGTTATTATTCCCGTAACGAGAGAACCACACCGAACCTTTCTTCCGTTTAGCTGGCAAATTTATCATTGGTATAGAAGCTGTTCTCGCGCTATCGCATTTAAATCTGTTTAAACTGTGACAGCCGTCCGGCTCGACACTCGCATATCTTTGCACGGCGACGTTGCATCGATAGTATGCGCATAATTCGAATATTACGCCAACATTACGTCCGGCTACATCGCCAACTCCATCCACCCGTGACGATTTATGTTACAAATATTATAGCGCCATGTATTCCCACTCGTTCATCCGTTTTATAATTTATGCCATGTTGTCCCTGTATCGAGAAAGAGAGACATTTTCATTTAATGCATTGTACAATATATGCGTGTTTCTAGCATTTATTTCACGTACAGACACACATATATACACATATATTTTTTAAACGTCTATTTTTAATATCATTCGGTGAAAAAGAAAATATCGTGGGAAACCGATATGGCATCGGGACCAGCATTTGCATCAATTTTTGTAATCGATGATTCATTGCCCCGAGTCGCTCTTTAATCTCGGATTAAATTTCGTGCACGGTCAACGCTGTCGTTCTTCATGTTCCGATCTATCTGCGAAGCCATTCATGCGCTTATGAAAATTTTTATACGGAGAATATTCATGAAAATTTCCTTTTCTCTTCTCGATCAATCCTGCTCAGAAATTGAAGACTTCCAAATTGGTTCTCGGACAAGGTAGATGTATTTTCCGCCGCATTAAGCACGCGAAAAGCGACACTCAATTTAAATTTGTTTGCGCGAAAGTCTATGCGCGAGGGTCACAAATTAGTTCGAGAGTAGAATATACATTTCGTCTGAAGATTTTCGAGAGATTCTTTTGGTCGTAAATAAAAATCTCGGTTACGATAAAAAAAAAGTTTGCTGCCGCAAACGACCTAATCTATAGCGAATTCGCGTCGTTAAACTTCCCTGAAGAATCTTAAAGTACTCTCGGAAGAGAGTTATTCTGACGATGAGTCGTATATGAATCGGAAGTTATCGAAGAAGCAGGTCATTCAAAGCTTTGCTCATTCAAGCGAACTAATAGACATGCAAGTGCAAGATATTCAGACTCGCGTCTAATAGCAGCGAAATGTGTGTATTTTTGATAAGAATTTTTTTTCTTTTAATTTTGTCTACAGTAACTCTAATGAATAAGTTTTTAAACTTGCATCTAACTACTTCAAGTTTTACGCTATCTGGATTTTTTTACTGATCTTTCTTGTGCCTTATCTTAGAAATATAAAAGTCAACAATAATCGTCTTGTGCAATATTGAATTGGTAAGAAACTAATTTTAATTTATATTAACATCAATTTTGGTTTTTAAATATGTAATTACAAATAATATATAAACTCAATTCTTTTAATAATTAATAATTTTAAATTGCAGTTTTATGTAAAATATTTTAAATGACAGGGACAATATTAATAAGATATATAACTATACAATGTTTAATATTGATTTATTGATCAATATTTATTTAGTTCGCAAAGAGTAAAACGTTATTGGACGCAATCAAGAGAAAAGCAAAAATTATTACAGTTTTTAAATATCCATAAACTATATAATTGTGTATACAAAAATTATAATTGAGAGAACATTTTTCATAAAAATGTGTAACAAAAATTTCGTTTCAATAGATGCGATAAAACGTTAAAAAATTTTACTACGACCGCGTGATTTCCGAGTTGCGCAAATTGATGATAATAATAATATAAGAAGGGCCGAAATGACTTTTTTATTTTTTTTATCGTAGTGCAAACAGCCATATAAAATGTTACGTGGAAAATGGCGACGAACAATTTAAAGAGAAGGGTAATGTTGATTAGATGCGGCCTGTATAAAACGCTAGATTATTCCTACATGCGAATATGGCAGAAATAGGTCGGTGAACGAGCGTGGATGTGCGAATTTTACAGCGCGCTGGGCCACGCTCTCTGCTGGAAAGAAAAAGCGGAGAACCGGAGAATATTGTCGGACGAGATTACGTTTTTCCGTCGGTTTTTGCCTCGACACGTACAGTAGCTTCGGCAAGCAGTTACACTTTGGCTACTTAATTTATATTATTTACAAGACGGTGTTTGGTAGAAACGAAGTAATGACGCAGACGTTATCCCGGATCGTTGTTACGTTAATAGAAATTGAAAAACAAGTGTATACGTGAACAGAAATTAAAGCTTGATTACTTTTCTCACGTATCGAGAAGCGTATATTTATGTGCATATTTCACGGAATTAATATTTTATATCGATAATCTTTTGTTAAATATAAACAAGGTAAACGTTTATACATACGTGCGTATTATCATGTACACACTTTGTATTCAATCCACCGCGATTTACTTCATTTTCGAGATGAAAGCGCAATGACGTCAGCAACGATGTTTAACGTGACATGTGTGTAACACGACGATAGGATACATGGTATACGCATTATTGATGCAGTTGGGAACTTTACGTAAAGATACGTGGCTTAATAAAGTTGAGCTCGTAATGGATATATTTCGCGCTCTCCCTTGGCTCACGCAACTTTTTGTTATACTGGGTCAGCCAGTCGATCGAGTTAACAAATTGGCGGGTATTAAAGTGCGAAGGCAAATAGGCCGCGACAACCAGGTTGTCAGAGATTCTGTGTATACCTCTGTCTATATCCGACATAGTTTCCTCTCACTAGGGAAACTATCTATCAACGACACAGCTCAGAAATATGGATTTTGTTTGGCGTGTGTTTCCGATTCCTATGCGAAATCTACAACTCCTGCCAAACTTTTTAATTTCATTTTTCGTTTCAAATTTACGTAGTCGAGTTTTTTTTTTAGAAAACTAATATTTATATAAAATAAAAATCAAATTAAAAAGGGTGCAAAATATGATAATTAAAATTATATTAAAATTGAGATAAAATAATTTTTTTTTTTTTAATAAAAATGATGTCTCTGTTGTTATTATTATTTATTACGATAGTTGAAGAAAGGCTTAGAAAATTGTTAATTTAGAATCTCAGACCTGTCATTATTATCTTATGAAAACTTTGTTGAACGATTTGCTTCGACGTGATGTTTATTAAAGGAATTTACTGGCGTGTTTTTCAACAGGCTAGAAGTCTATGTAAAAGTCTATATGAAATCCATGTCGATGCTAAAACGACGCAAGTCATTCGGAAATATTAGGCTAAAATACAGAGTCGCCCTTCGTTTTTTTTCACCCGAATAACTCGCCCCGTCAATCTGTTTGGAAATATTTCAGCCGTTCATTAACGGCGCGACAATTTTCACGACGGAATTATTATCGGGGAGCGCGCGTTAGTGTTTTCATTCGAAGCGTTAGTGCTTTTATTCCACCGGACAAGACTATTCTCTTCCTATTCAGCCTGGTGTAAAACCACGGCGGTAAATATTAGACTCGATCATAAATGCAGCGCAACTCTACCGCAACTTTTTACTGAAAGATTAAACACAAGTCCGCGGTTGTAGACGTCGCGTCGCTTTCGCTATCGAATCGGGGCTCTCGTTCAACGGAAACAAAGCCACGTGGAAGCGTGAAAGCGCGGTGTACCGTCGCTTCCGACAAGCAAAGTTTGTACGGCAGCGGAATGGATTAAACGCGTTTTATCGAATGCAGGAGAAGAGGTACGTCGTTGCGACGCGTATTGAACGACCGCGCGATCGATGCGCGTTTAGCGTGCAGACAGAGGGAATGTAAAGAGAAAGAGAGAGAGAGAGGTACATAGAGACACAGGCAATCAAAAGGATAGAGAGGGAGAAGTAGAAAACCGCTCGAACGCTGGAGGCTGCGGCCGCACGGGTCGTCAAAATAACGCGGTAGGTCAATCGGAAAACCCGAAAAGTCCGCTTCTTTCCCCCTTTTCAGCCAGGCGGCAGGAAGGTCTGCGATCCTCTCGCCAGTTCGCGCGGAAGAATCCGAGAAGAGCCGGTTTTCTAGAGAAGGCGCGCCGAAGAACGGAACACGCCGTACGTCAAGCGCGTCGCAAGAGCGATTTAATTCGATGTTTACTCGAGCGCGAAAATTCCGTGGGCGCAAAACTGGATGGAACTCGCGAGCTCAAGGACGGACGTACCTCCTAGTCGCGTACGATGTATGGATCCGCGGTTTCTTCACACGGCAGTGATAAAATACGGTATGTCGCGACGATGGCGGGTTATTACTACTTACAGTACGTGTCGGTGGTGAGTCGATCGATTGTATCCTGCTTGAGCTTGCTATTCTTCTTCCCCATCTTCGTCTAGCCTCGTCTTGCTGTGTGTTAATCTAACCGATCTTCTGACCCCGTTGAATCGCTTCTCACGCTCTTCTTTCACACGCGTTGGCGAGCTTTCTCCGACGAAGAGGTCTCACCGTTCAGCTCGCATCTCTCGATTCGCTCCGAATCGCGGCTGATCGATGCTGAAGTTTGAAAGTTCGGGTGATTGTTCGAGCTCGCGGAGAACCGAGAACGTCACCACCGTCAACCCAAGAAGCAAGAAACGAAAAATTCGTTCGAAGTAACTCCGGAAAAATGCGACGGTTCCTTGGCTCTTTCTGTTTTGAGGACGCGAGGAGGTGCTCTATCAAATTTTATCCGATAAGTTTCCCGTTCGTAACTTTGTCCCTCTCCGTTGAGCCGAGCCGGGTTTCCTCTGTCTCGAAAGAAGTTGGTCGGTGAATTCAATTTGGAGGTGTGTTTTGCAGGCAGGCGCGAAACTTTCTTCGATCTCGAGAAGACGTCGATGTCCCTCGGTAAAATCTGTGTCGCGATCGAGGAATAGTTTTTGATTTAATCTGCTCCAGGGGAGAAATAAAAAGGGGATAGAAGAGGAGAGAGGCTACGTATTTAATTGATTGAATTATGATACAGGTTTCGGTCGTTTATTCGCATCGTCTTATTCGGAATCTTATTCGTTGATACGCCTCCTACGTAGATTTTCTTTTCGATGATATTGCTTTTTCTGTGAAGAAGAATACAAGGGAGCATTTTAATGAGAACGCGAACTCTCTCCCGTGAATCGGTCGCGGTTGAAGCTTTTCGTTTTTCATTTGTTACTCGATGCGTTCGCGATGTATTCGAGCGTTCGCGTGGAAATCGGAACTAGAAATTCGAAACTTGAGTATGTATGTGCGTTTGAATTACACATTAAACGGGGATAATTTTCCGGTGTGGTAAATGAGCTTTCGCGGAGTTATTAATTGCCTCGGTCTTTTCGAAGAAGTTTCCTGAGCGCAGATGAGCTTCCAATTTGTAAAGATTGTATCGGAAAATGAAGACAAACTCGAAGAAAGGACTCGGGCGGAAATGTTTGCGTGAAAGAGCGATTATCACAATCAATAAATTTGTTTTCCACTGTCGCGACAAGGGTTAAACGGGCTCGAATATTTGTGTCGAACGAACTTTTAATCTTCGATGATCTTCCAATATAATCACGTGCAAGAATACATTATTGTCTCAAACCGATTGCATTAAAGCTTTAAAGGTCATAAGACAGGACGGCCGATACTTTCCGAACTTGCACTGGCCAATCCCTTCTGGACTATTATGTGAGCTGGGCTTTAAAGGCCAACGGCGTTAGGATATCTCCCATCTTATCCTAGGATTAAACGGAATTTCCACTAAATGTATTTCCTTAGTGTCACGATTCTCTTGTTCCACCACGATCGTCTTTAATCCTACCGCTTTTCGAATGCTACGATAAAATATTATATGTCGTTTGTTACTTTCAGAAGTGCAATAACCATTGCGAGGAAATTTCCTCTCCGTTTATTATATTCCCAAACTTTTCAATTGCTAATACAATAAGAGGGATAAAAATTGGGTAAATCGGATCAATGGATTGGTTCTTTTTTTTTAAATTTAAATATGCATCAAGAAACGAGCGAAAAAAAGCAATCAATATCTGTTAAATATTCTCAAGATAATTATTCACGCTCGTTTTGCGATATATGCGAATCGATTATGCGACGGAGAGGAAACTCGGGTTATATCGGCGTGTTTATCGTGAAGTCATTAACACCGTTGAATAATGAATCGTGCCCGCGCGTTTTCTATATCTATCCCGTAATCTTCGAACTCGGTTCGCCGGACGACGGAATGAATGGCGATTGAGAGCGAAGGAAAATTTTCAGCAAAAGGAAAAGTTTTATTCGCAAAAGAAGAAATCCTCAACCGTGGAGGGAGAATATTCGATCCGACGTACCGGATTCAAGATGAAGTCATGTCCGTTAGTCGTCGAAAACTTGGTAAAAACTTGGGACGAATAACAATGGACGAGCGAGTCTTTTCTCAAGAGTACAGCTCGAGATAGATGAAGTTACGGCAAAGTTAACTCTCCTCTTTCCTCTTAATACGAAGGATCTTCCTCACCGTCTCCGAATGACATATGCGGTACCCTGAGGAGGAAGCGAATAATCATGGAGATTCTTCTCGCCCGGAGAGAGAATTCCATGAATTTGAATTCAGACTAGTCGGCCAATTCGCGAATTCATAAGGCATCGCGTTATCACGCAAAGTTCGCGGGACCGTGCGTGATACTGAAGAGATTTTGATTTATGCGTCCTTCGCGATGTCGTGCTTGATCTGTACGAGGGGGCATCCTGCGAGATTCGGGAATATCGAAGGACGTGAGGGAGAACCTTGCCGAATGATTAACTTCCGGTCGAGGTCGTGCTACATCCTTGACCTCGCGCCGCACCGCGATGACACTCGGAGCATGCGTTTCCGCGCTTATTATTACGTCGTAACCCAGTCGATCGACGATGAAAAAAAAGAAAAAGAGAAGAAAGACATATCCGGAGATCGACGCGAGAAACGCGCGGCCTCCAATTTTGCGGTTCTCCAACTCGCGAATCCTCTGGAGAACGCTCGTGCTGAAAAGCCGCGGAAACCTGATTATCGAGAGAGACATTCCGCAGCGCATTCCATTCATAAAACAAACCGGATATCGACGAGTCGCCGCTCTCCGAAGTGCACTAAAGTGTCGTGTGTCCGGAGCACCAGTTCGATCGCGATAACGAATAGCGTTTAAAGGGATGTTATCGTTTCGAGCACCAGCAACTCGCGCAACTTTTGCACAAAACGTCGATAGAACGCTGGAGAACGCCATCGAGCTTCTGAATGAAGACGAGGATGGCGGGCTGGCGGGTGGGAGAACGTTTTATTCGCGACAACGTACGCGCTATTCAACGAAAGATTCGTCACTGACGGGGGAGAATTATATTGGACAGGGTCGATGAAGATCAGGATATTGCTCTGTCCGAATGATATTCGTCCGCTCGATACGGAAGCTCATCTGCGAATGCGAAATTTGGACCGCTATCGGAATCTGCTCTCTCATCACTATGGCTCGTCGCCAATCGATCGAGATCAGCATTTCTGTCACACGCAAGTTGACATGATTAACGAACAGATGCTGCGTCAGCCAACGGCTGGCGAACCAACTCGAACTTCCCAGCTGGTCCCCGGCTTTCGCGGAGGAAATCGAGTTAGAATCGAGGAACGTCTCTTTGACGCGCGATCGCGTTCCTTCACAAGGACTCTATCCGACGACTTAACGGTAAGTAAGGGTTTCATTCATGAGTTCTCTCACCGCTGGCGGAGTACGTTCGTTGGCGAAGCGCGGACCAGTGACGTCATAGCGTCGCGGCGCCTGGCGTCAGACTGGCTCGGCGATGACATTATGTGGAAGTGTGTTGGGTTACGATGGCGCAAGCGCGCCTCTCGAACCTGAGGGGGATGCTCGAATATCCACCCTCTCTCCTTTACATCGGAGGTTCCTCCGATTCCACCACCTTCGATCCTCACCGTGCTTTCTCCTTCTCTTCGGTTCCTCTCTCTATCGTACACCTTATATACGTTCTCGCCGTCTCGGTCGATCGCGTTCTGCGTCGTTTCTATACTCTCTTGTCCGTCTTTCACCGATTTTTTTCTCGCGCCTTTTTCCCATTTTCCTTTCCCTTCGCTCCCCGTGGAACATTTTTCCATCTTGATTCCTCGCACGAGCTTCTCTCGATTTCGCGTTCCTTTCTTCGCGCCGGGTCTCGCTTTCGCAGATCCTTTTCTGCCATTTCTTCGTTTTTCTTCTTCACCTCTATTCGACCATAATTCTCGTCTTACAAATATTGTTACCACCTCGTCGCATTAGGAAAAACTTTGGGCCCCGGCGCGTCTCGTAAAGTTCCATTATGGAATTAACCCGAGCGAATATTCGTATTCAAGAGGGAGTTCGCGTTTTTATTATTATTTATCATTGTCCGCTCGTCGCTATACTGCCAGCTGCGTTCCTGTTTCTAACTTTATCACGAACTGTAATAAGTATCACTTTGCGTTGTTGTGGTTATTCATCTGCATTTGTGCTTGAAATTTTTATCGTTTCTGGTAAACTAAAGGATAATTAACGCGAAGCCGTACTAAAATATGTTGATGGATTTTTTATCTTGAAAAATATTACGCATACGTTATATAGCATAAACAAGTATAAAGTGTGTGTAAAGAAATGTCATGAGACTTCTCTTGATTTTTCATAATGACGTGATCAATCACAGCTGTGTTATGAAGAAAAATTATTCTGAAAAATTGAAAAAAGTTAATAACAACTTATTTCGTGTTGAGAGCTTTACTCGGGAATAAAATAGGAAATATATAAAGTAGGGAACGAGTGTAAAGCAAAGCAATACAGGAAAGTGAAACGCGGCGAAAATCTCTCCGGTGCTCCATCCTGATGAGATCAATCACTTAAAAATGCTGTTGAAATTCGTAGAAAAAGAGGGAAAGAAAGAAAGAGAGGCGCGTTGGCGAAACAACATTTTGACGATTGAACGAAACTTGAAAGGAAGATGTGCGGGGCAGTATATATATTCTACGGGATTTTCGTTGCACGTCGACTATTTCGCGGATGTGTTCGATGAATTCGAGGCGAGGGATCTAAATCGGCGCGGATTCGCCGCCGGATCCATGAATAAAAGAAAAGGTTTGCGTGATACCGCTGATTCGTTGGTTCGATGACAAAACGATTTATTTCAACCTCCACCTTTGCCTCGGCTAATGTTCGAAAAACTGATTATATTACTTACATATATATTGATAAACTATATAGATTCAACATAATAATAGAATTACAAAATTAATAAAATAAATAAATTAATAAATAAAAAGAATGATAAAATTAATTAATAAAATAAATAAATAAAAGTTGGAATATTATATAAGAGTATCGTAAAATACTTGAAAGTTGCTCGCGGAGAGTGGATTATTTTCTCATTACGATTTACTTTTACTCTTAATCCTTTCCCACGCGATTGTAATTAATCGGGCGACGTCGCGGTAATAACTTCTCAGCGACACCTAATTATCTCCTCGAGATAAGAGCTCCAAGGCGCGCGCGTCGGCGTTTCCTTCTGCTCGAACCAATGCAGTTTTTCGCAGTTTTTCGCTGACCATCGCCGGGATGCTGCGGCAATCCGATTTACTCTCTAGTCCGTTTTTATTGGCTAGCCACGAAAGCCGTAACTACCGAGTATCGACTTCTGGGAAGACACGGCACATTCTCCTTTTTCTTCTTCTTCTATTCTCCTCCCCCATCTCCTTATGAAGTAATAACAAAAGTGCTCGACGCGACATACGTCGAACAGTAATGGACAAAGCGCGCGAACCAAAGTGGAGCACGTCAGCAGTCCTTGTGCCGGCAATCCTCGGCATAAAAACGTCAATGATCGTCTACCCCTGCGAAGATGGGAGCCGACGATCAACAACACAATGTCGACGACAATAACAGATACATCTGTCGCGGGACAAGCGTAAAACGCGATTCGTCAAACTGTTTACGGCTGTCGCGATCCTTATTCGGTGAATAATTGCTTCGCCCGGTGATGGCTGTATCCTTCTCTGCGCAGGACGATTCCTCAACTTCAGCTTAGAACGCGCGAATATTCTTCGATTTATATATTCGAGGAAAGAGGTACGTTGATAAAGCGGATATGCGGTAATTTAAAGAAATTGAATTGCGGTAGCGCCGAAGGAATGATATTTCGTGTCGTGACAAATGTCGTGCAAATTACATCAGGTTTTACGCGACGGTTTAATTCTCATATTATTCGCTCGCAATTTTTCGGCGTCATGGACTTTTATTATTTAATACCCGATAATTCAATATTTAATGCGCGACATTTCTATTTGAATGATGAATTTTTCATAGATTTAGCGCTGCTTTATTGCCATCTAAAAAAAGGTCATACATCTCGACAGGAATGTGAGATCCACATTGCGTTCTACAAAATTAAAGTCGTATCTTAGATCATTCACCCGAAGGATAAAAGTATAATGAAAAAAGGATAGTAAGGTTTGGAGTAAAATGTGTTGCTTAGCCAGCTGTTATAAATATTTACACGTATGAAATTTTAATTTTTTTTGAACTCGAATTATTGTTCCCTGAAATGTTAAATTAATAAATAATTGAATTCATTATATTATTCTTTTCGAGTTGTGTAAAATAATAATATTTAAAATAATAATACTCTTTTTCAAAACTGTAAAAGATGTGATATTTATAATATTTTATAGCTATTTTTTAAAGTTATAATTTTGTTAAAAATGCTTGTACTGATACTAACGTGTATCTTTTCAAACTTATTGTTCGTGCTAGTTTAAAACTGATCGATCTCAATCTGTTCAATTTTCTTATAAAGGGTAACCAGCGGTAAAAAGTTTCGTTGATGCAGCAGTATTTTTCTTGTTCGCGAGGTGGTGAAATTGGAAGAAAATCTCGGTTATATTTTGGCAAGTCTTTGCGCCCGGGTGTCGCGCGAAAATTGCGGTAAGAGCTGCTCGATTCGTCGAAGAAATAAATCGCGGGGAAACGTGATTCTAGCTCCTTGGAGGGATATATGATTCTATTTGCTGGGGTGACCAAGGGAGGCGACGATATGAACGCGAGACGATGGCTGGAGGGTGTTTCGAGTGGAAAATTGAATCCACGACTAAAACGCACCTGGAAATCGTGGGAATTGCGGCGCCGCTATATATTTAATCCGAATATCTGCCACAACGCATCGCTCGAATTTATGTGCTTGTTTTGCGTTTTTCGTGCTTTTTATTTTTATTTTCGCTTTATTTTCTTATTCCGCGACATAAAGCTCTTAAGCTTGCGAGAGCAAAGTCGCAGTTATGTTGAAAATTTTTGTAAGTAACAAGTAAAGTAATTATGAAAGTGCGCGCGCGAAAGTTTGAGCGAAAATCAGATTAATCCGTCGCTCAAATTTATTTAACTATCTCTGTAGTAAAATTCTGTAGGAAAATTTAATCTTTCAAAACCGGACCAGTAGCCTTTCGCACCCGCGAAGTTAAGTCGCTTCAATGTCACATTTAGTTTTTGCATCTATATACCATCGCTATAGATTTATTTTCGCGATAGCTCTGTGTTAATTGCGGGATAAACTGTTGCCGGTTAAACTCGATTGACTATCTTTGCCAGGACTCTTGCTTTTACATAATCAACTAATATATGATACCAGTGGCTGAAAATTACACAGCCGATGACGGCTTTCCTAGAGCCTTTGTTTAACTATGTTTATAGTTCTACATGCTCGAACCGAGAGACAAACGGCAGCGGTTGATCTCCTTTCAAACACGTTCAAGAGGGTGACTCGAATTTCGAGAGCTTTGAAGCCAACTTTCGAGCCTCTACTCCGCATCGTGATGCCACGGAAACTAACCCATTTATATTTGTATGAAATTCCGCGCTTTTGGTTAATTACATTGAAATAAAGCATATTTTATGTATACTTCATTTGATTAAATTATATTTATATATATTTATATTCTATAATATATCCAAATATATTTTGAGAGAAAACAGACGCGAATTTCAATAGATATTTTTATATACAAATTTAATCAATTTTTTTTTTTTTTAAATGCAAATATCCTCTCAGATGTTGTTCTTCCATCTAGCAGAGATAATTAATTTTCTTTCACTTACCTTAAGATTCTTCGTCTTCGATTTTTGGTTACCTATCGATCAGAAATAATCGACGAGCGAACCGTGTTATTGACGCAATCAGTGTGCGATATCCTGGATATACAATTCTAAGGCATGTAAATTGCGTCTCATTTACATTTTGTGAGAGTTGGGGTAATTGCGAGTTAACATATGAATCTTCACAACGGTAAACCAATTAAGATAGGGGCGAGAGCCGGCGTTGTAACAATGTTGGGGATACTGATTTATCGGAACTGTTTCCGGTCAGGGTGTTTCTATCAGTCGCGGCGCGGCCGCTTCTTTATCAGCCGCGTGCGAACAAGCGTGCGGCTTCGTTAGGGGTTCAGCCGACCGGAAGAGTCGTTAACTACGGGCAGCGAAATACACGCGAGCAATTTGCATGACCGTCGATTTCGCGCGTGCTGTTCCGCGTGCATACATGTACAGCCCTATATAAGCTTGTCGCGCGCGAGTGTGCGGTTCCATTTACACCCTAATAAATTTCGAGCAATAATTATCAAACGTTAATTATTGCCTCTTCTTCTCCCCTCCAGTCGCATCGCAGCGTGATTACATTTGCAGGTATATATTAGGTAAATCGAGAGGCTCAATCGAATTACGCGTTACGTGCGAATCGTTTTATATTCCATTTTTTCGAATTCCGTATATTTCCACATTGATTGCATTCGTTTATTTTAGCTCTTTTCTCCAGTGAACTATTTTTAACAGTTTGAATTTGTTCGCAAATTTATTTGCGAAACGTGTCTCGCAATTTTGAGTATCGATATTATTTTTATACAGGCGCTTGTTTACGATATTACAGTTAATTATCCAAGTAATCAGACGCTTATATCTGATTAAAAAATGTTAATAGAAATATATCATGAAATGATTAATCGTATTTAAATATCAAATATCAATGGATTACCTTTAATTGATACGTTCCAAATAAGCTAGGACGTTATTAGTCCACCGAAATAATTCTCAAATTTATCTAAGCTTCTATTAAGCTCTGTTTTTACGAGAGCTTTACGTCCTTATAAATTAAGTAATATTATCTTAGCAATTATTACCTATATAAAAGGTATCAATGCTCGTAAGAAAAAGCTAAATCTTAGTATGGTAATTATTAAAACAAACGCCCGACTTCGAGGTATAATTTTGATTGACGCACCCTTTGACAAGCCATAAAACGCTTCTAAAGGACGAGTTAATTCACCAGGAGGAGACTCCGTATAGTCACCGAACGAAGAGCCGGAGGGTAGACAGAATCCTCGTTCACCCCGTGGTGCCTTCGTCGGCGAACCAAGCCACCCTGTATCGACCCAGCGACGCCCACCCAAAGAGCAACCCCCACCATGGATGACCCCATCCACCGGTACCATTTCGTCCAAAAATTTGGAGCGTGTTGCGTCGCGCGCCAAATCGGTGCTACTTTTTTATCCACGTGATCGGCGATACCGAGTGTGTCGCGTCGGCGGCCGCGTTGTTGACAAATCCGTGGATTCAACGCTGACGAGTTGACTATTCAGATTCGGGCAAACATTGGGAATGATAACGAAAACGCAATACGATACATCGGTCGATGTAGGCCGGGGATTTGAATTATGTCATGTTCGGAACAACATACATGTACTTTCCTGAATTTCGCGTCGCATGATTTACGATTATTTAGCATAACAAAAATCGGAAAAATAATTTATGAGACAACTTCGAGTTGAAAGGAAGCTGGTATGATACAGAAACAAAACGCGTGCAGACCTTTTTTCCTCGGGGAATATCCTCGTAAATCATCTGGCAGAATTTATCACGTCAGTTGTACATATTGTTGTACATATCCATCTCTATAGCTTTGTATAAAAAATACGAGGAGTATTACTGAACCTTCGTCATCGAAGCCACCGGTCATATTCCCAGTTTATCGCGCAGACTATTCCTCCCGAAACGATTTCGTTCTCCAGACACGTTGGAGGAATATCTCGCCGCTGGCTGGGAAAGAGAGTTGTTATACACGAGTGCTTGATGTACATCGCGAACGCGGTAAATATCGCTCGCGATGCCTATGTATTTCGAAATTTTATTATGACACACAACCATAGGCGTCCGCAGGAGGGGGCAAGAGGAGGCATTTGTCCCCTTTTGGAATCAATAAAAAATTACGCATTTGCTCTCCGTTTGAATAAACACTGGAATTTATTTGCATATTTAATATTAAAAAAAATAAAATTTTAAAAAATTAAGGAAAAATGATGGAAAAATAATTAAAATGTGCCTCTTCTTGGAAAAGATTCTACGGACGCCCATGCACACGACGTGCCGCAACACACTTTTCCCGCGGCAGTATATCTCTTCGTTAGTCGAGGATGTATACACGCGCGCTTAAATTATCTCTCGAACGATGACAGATCCATCCGCCCGACCAAGCGACCGACCTTGTTGCGTATGCATGCGATACATTTCGCCCCCTGTGACATGTTTATAGCTTCGCCGTAATGAACCCTCCCGTATGCTGGTGGTCTAAATTATTTCCAAATAGCGGCGTACCAAGAACGACGAGAGAGTTTGGTCACCGCATCCACTTAACTCCGCCATTATTCGCGAAAATCCCATCTTTCTTTCTCTCTTCCTGTTCATACTGGAAACGAATTTTCCTACCGCTCGTGAATGCAACGAAAACCGTTCACCAATTATTCTTCTCCTGTCTATCTGTCGCGTTTAATCAACGCTTTATGTTATAAGAACGCGTTATATTTTCGCTTCACACGCGAGAATAAACGGAAGAGAGAGAGAGAGAGAAAGAAAGAGTTTATCGATCCGCGCGGTAAATATCAAAATTTCACAGACTGACGCATGACGCAAAAATCGATGGAAACAACGATCGGACGCGTCCTGTTTGCACGAGTTCTTTCGCGAGGCTAGATATACAGCACGCTGCTCGTCATGTACTCGTCATCTGGTTCGACAGCAAACCGCTGCTGTCGCATTCGACACGTGATGACGAGCGCTCGTGAAGCATCTTGTGGATATTTTTACAGGTCGTTGGAAAATACGCTGAATTACTCAAAGACAGAGTGGAAAATATAAATGATAAAATATAATTGATTCACAGATGTGGAATCTAAACAATAATTTGCGTATCAAATTTTTATCATTTTTCTAACGAGAATAATTGTAGGTAGCAATTGAGAAAAAAAGGAGATAAATAAAAAATAACGGAGCTTATATTAGCGTATAAGCATTTCCTAATTTTTAAATAATTACTTTGAAGCTTTTATGTCATATTGTTTCGTTCGTGTCACAAAGATGTTTATGGGGAAAGGATATGAAAATGTAGAAGAGATATTTCTCCGAATTTATTTCTCTTCGTTCGTGCGCGTTTCGCAAAGTTAGGGGCAAACAAGACGTCGCATACTGAAGAGGGGTGTTCGCATTGCGAAATGTTCTTTGTTGGGATTTACGTATGCAAATGAGCGAAATAATATTACCATCGAACTGCACAAACGTGGACGGACCGTTGTGGCGAATTTAATTATCGATTTCCCGGGAGATAGAATATCTTTCTGGAATACAGTGTCTATTTTGGAAACGTGATGCAACCAAAAGGTAGCGGTTTATTTCGGAAAGTTCGATGGAATATTATTATCGCAGCCGGCAGCGATCCTTTCGCTAAACTCGAAAGCCTGATCCAACGTTACGCGTTATTCGCTCGCATGGAGATACGCTTTTGCTCGTTTCTTTTATTATATTACACGGTGCGGAAATGTGGATTCGATTGAAATTCAATTCCCATGTCGGTATCGAACTCTATACATAAATTGCTTAAGGTCTAATCGAACGATACGTAAGTTATCGGCGGCGAAGATGTATCGCGTATAAAAGATTAATGCCGTTAATGCGATGTGTATACATGAGAAACGCAATTATCACTTTGGAGGCAGCGCGCTTGTAAATTGTATAACATTTACACAGCAATAAATCACGACTATTCACGAATTCGCGGCGCAGACGTAAAATATTTCTCGACGTCGCGATCATTCATTCATTTACTATCTTAAACTTCCAGTCGGAGGAACTTTGGTACACCTTTCACGCTTCTTCCTTCTGTCTCCGGTGATTTTGAAATCGACGCGGTTTCTTCCATCTCTCTCGATTTCAGCCCTCGTGGATTTTTTTTTTCCGCAGAAAAGATATTCCTTGTACGATCTCAGGTACTTGACAAATTTTTTATTTTCATTTTTTGATTTTTATTTTTTTTCTTCTCGTCCTTCTCTCTTTTCTCCCGCATTCTGAGCGCACATTCTTGTGTCTTTAATTTTCCAACGGCGATCGCGCGCGACTCAATGCACAAGTCTTGTCGTTGCGATTCCGTGCGAATTCTGATAAATTTCCCGGGTCACAATGCACACGGACGCGTTGCACTGGTTCTCAACGTGGCGTTTCTATCGTCTAAATTTTCTCTTTCTCTCTCTATCTTGTCGTCGATTTCCTCTTTCTCTCTCTCTCTCTCTCTTTGATCTGACTCTCGATCGACAACACTATAAACTTTTGCCGCTTGTAGTTTAGAGTGCGAAGGAGTCTCACGGGATTCTTGACGGACAGCTTATACAGAATCCCTTGCCATTATGCACTTTCATTGTTGTTTCGCAAGAACTTGTCGAGTCTTCTGATTTCAATGCTCACAATCTCGCGAAACTGGCGAAAATCTAAATGTATATTGTTTGATAGAAAGCGAGCGAGAGAGAAAGAGAAATATTTGGACATCAGCTGTTTAATCAGGTCAGTCGATTTGATCGTCCAAGTCAAACGCGCAAATTTAGCAGCAGCATCCATGTAGACATACTTGATTCTAGTTATTAGTACGCAGGAATGTTTCGCAAATGCTGTTCTGGAAATCTGCAATCAGAGTTTGCCAGTACACAGAATACACATAATCCGGATACCTTCTCACTAAGAATCGTAGTAAGCGCGATTCGTAGAGAGCACTGCGGGAAATTGATGACGATACGCAATTCGTTGTCTTTTTGTCGACAATAATTATGTCATTGATCAAAAAAAAAAAAAAAAAATAGAAACGATCAGGCTATTCAACAAAAAGAAATTTCCGCAAGAGCCTACTACATTTGACTATCAAGCCCTCTGCATACATGTAGGCAAATTGTTCAACGTTATTGTGACCAACACACTTTCGTACATTGTTTTTACTCGCACAATTGAATTCAGTTCTCAACGGAAAGATTCGTTTTCCTAGCGGAACATCACGGATCGGTGTTAAACGCTGGCACGAGCTAGATGTCCAGGAGTCGCGACCGTGGTGGTCGGCGGGGTCGTCGTGGTTGTCGTTGGTCGCGGTATTGGAGAACGTTTCATGGGCAGACTTCTGCCACCTTGCTTGCTTTTGACCCACGGCCATTGCAGGGTCCGTATCAGAGTGTTGCGAAAATCCTCGGAGAAGAGGCAATAAATGTAAAACGTGATCGAGTAATTGATCACCTCTAACAGATTGGCCAGCGCCCGGAACACCTGCAACCGAACGCGGCGAATTAATGGACGGATTCATAATTGATGAAGTCGAGAATTAGGGGCGGAGCGCGAGGGCGTGCGAGGGAATAATTGAATCATTTCATTCCCGGGTAAGGAGGCGAGAGAGAAAGCGAACTCTGATTAAGTATTCTTTCAAGATGATGAAAAAGAATTGGAAAACGGAGGAGTCGTTGCCTTAAATGAATTTGAAACTCGAAATTAAGTTTTATTATTGATCGTATTATCAGTTGCAAACTGTGATAAAAAATGTACTCTCTGACAGGAAATTTGAAAATGAGAAATAATAGGCTATAGTAGCTAAAATGTGTCTTGTTACCTGGTAAGAATAATGATTGAGATTGCTCTCGCTAAGAGTGACGTTTAAGATAACCATAGGGCTGACGCAGACTAGAAATAGGATGCTGGTGCTGCCTAAGAGCAGAATGAGCCTTCGTTCTTCGGCAAAAGTTCTCGGATCTTCGTCATTACTAATAGTTCTCGATAAGGTCATCCTTCGACGTCGTTCGCAGGATCTTCTGTACACTATCATTATTTTCAGATTGAATCCGGCGAGAAGGATCGTTGGTGCCACTTTAAAAATGACTTCCAGCATTATCTTGTAAATCTGAAGTACACATTTGCATCGCAGATTAAGAGCCATTGAATCATAATATACAATTAAATACGATACACGCTATTTTAAGATCATAAACGGAATGTGATTAAACATGCAAGGCGTTCCAGAAATTTTGACCTCAACTTAAATATCAGATACTCTTTTTAAATCTCAGACACCGCTATATCAATTTGGAACATTTTGCATAATTAGCGTTAACGATATTGTTACAGCTAATTAACGCGAATAATTGATAAAACGTTAATTATTCCGGTATTTTATTGGTATTTTTTGGAAATATTTGTGCGAAAGCTATCTTTGTTAGCGGAAAAGGACAGTGTTTTACGAGACAAGAGATATGAATTACCTGAAAGAACCACGACTGAAGAAACGTCCGATTCTCCCCCTTCTGGTAGATTAGAGGGCCGTCTGGCGCCAGTAGACAGGTCGTAATTTCACCCCGAAATACATACGGCAGATAAACGAGAAATGTAGCCAGGGGATGAGCGCCACTGTTAGGTGAGGTGGTCCGCAGAGTGGTCGCGTGTGTTGTCCGGGATGACAGACGCTTACATAACGCTCCACTGTCAATGCCAGAAGCATCATTACTCCAACTCCTATGCATACAATTAACCTCTATATCTCTCGAATATATAGCGTCGGGATGGCTTTAAAAGCTCTCTTCTCGTCAGATGTACTTGTACGTTTTTTTTTAACGCGCACATTTATATAGTAATCGAAAAAAATTGCACAACTCTTTTTCATGGCAAAGTACCGTTTAATTTTTGATGTGCGCATCCCTCTTTCTCCTCTCCGCTGTGTTTCTTTGAACTACATTTAGGCAAACTTCTAATCGTTATCATCGCTATAACTTATAACAGTTCCGAGATACAAGAGAGCGAGCAAAAGTTTACCGCCGCTGACAAAGTTCCAACGAGCATTTTCTATTTCTTTCGCGCGTAGCGTAGGGAGAGCAGATAACGGGATAAATTCATTTCCTCCGTAAGAATCGTATCAGTCGTTTCCGCGAAAATGGTGTTAATGGGAGAGAGAGAGAGAGAGAGAGAGAGAAAACGAGAGAAAGAGCGAGTCGGACTTTCTGGAGAATTTTCTAGCGCGGAATTTAGCAGCGGAATTCTCGGCAAAGTTTTGTCGTACCCAGGCAGCCGTTCCCAAGGAAGAGCTCGAGATGAGCATGATAGAAGGCCTGCGGCCAGCTGCTCCATCCCCCGATTTCCTTGTGGATGAGAACCCTAAGCGCGAAAGGGATGCAGAACAGGATCGCGAGAAGCGCCGCCGCGGAATAACCTGCAACAAAAAGAGGAGCAAAGTCCGGGGTCAAGAAGGGTAGTCGGACAGGGAAAAATAAGAGATTCCCAAGTAGACCGAGTTAACTTGATTTCATAAACCCGGAACAGCGGGTGAACATGGCACACAATTCACTTAATCATTCTCTCGCAACTTCCCTGAATATTCCCGGGAACATCTCCGGGAAATTTTTCATTCCGCCTCTGCGGTGCTTAAAACGACGAGAATAAGATTAAATCACTCTTCATGATCTATTCCGAGTCATTACGCATTTTTTCCTTCTTTTTTCGTTCCGTTTGATATCTTCCGCATTTCTCCGTTTCGCGCGCGTCGCGATACTTCAATTATAAATATTCATAACACCACGTTTCTCCTACCTATTGTTCCACGAGTATTTTGCTTACTCATTCAGGCAATCAGTCATCGGCATTATTTGCACACGTGAATACACACCGCGCGATTTACCCTTCCTTTATTTTACATCTATCGTCACTCGCGATTCCTGACAATCTCAATTGGATATGCGTTTCTTGCCAATTTCCATCGGTTTACTGTTATCGTATGGTCGGTTGCGCTGCTTATTGCTCCACGTGTTACGCGCTTTTACTGCTCGTTGACACCAATTAACGCTCGTATTTACGTTACGTTTCGCGAAATTTCCTGAGAGCAATTAGGAGTTGTTTATGTTGCTCTTCTGCATCGTATGATCGCGAATTGGATAGAAAATTGCACATTCCGGATGGGATTACAGTGGAAAGTTCTTCGGATATTAACAGCACATTAATGGAAGAGTTATTGCTTAGAAGAGCTCGATCTTTCTTATTTTATTTTAAATGCAACCAAATTGTTCTCTTGTATAATTTTTCTTATTCTCGACCAATTTCTTAAAGTCTCTAATGTTCGATAAAATTGTAGTTATTATTACAGTCGTCCCTGTGTTTGGTGCCAAAAATTATGAGTATGGTTACTTACTTTTAGATTATTTACGACAGAAAAAAATTTATTTGTTAATAAACAAGGAAGAGTTCCGTTTAACGAGATGTTTATATATATGCGCACAAATTTCTGCGTAGACGTCTAAATACTCGTTTAACAATTTCCCTGCATGCAAAAAATCCACGCAAAGGAAAGGATCCAAAAAAAAGAGATATATGTATGACAAAAGATATACATTAAATGTGAAAATCAATAAAAATCTCGACAGCAATTGACGTGGCGCAAATATGGACCGCATTAGAAGTCTGGTCAAATCCAGACTTGCGGCCGTTTAACTTTATAATGAATACCACGCCTATTATTTCTGGATTATCTTCGACTAATGATATCTAATGCTCAAACTCTAGCCAAGGCAGTTTTATCAACCCTCGCTTCGTTGTATCGACCAGCTTCTCGAGTAGAGCTTCCAACCACCGATAAGCTCGAAAAGCTCGCCGGTAACGTATTTCTTTGGTCGATGATAACCGAAGGACGGACAAAAAGGGGTGGCTTCAGTGCCTCATCAGTCGATACTGTTACCAACCGACCTTCTAGATTCTTGTTCCGCCAGCCATCTCGTAGAGCTACCCTTAAGTCCTTTGTTCGTCGGGAGAACGGCAGGCGCTTTAATTACGAAACGGAGAAAAGTTCTCTATTACGATTCTTTTTCCAAAGTTTATTAAAGAGCGCGATACACGTTCGCCGGAGTATGAAAGTCGAGAAGAAACCGGAAATTGGCTAATGTCGCGCGAATGAAAGTCGAGTTTTCCATCCGACTACACAATGCACGGTGAAAGCTCGTAAAACTTTTACGCCAGAGCCTCGGCATTAAAGACGAAATTGTATCTTTCCATTTAAATTACAATTTCTTGCCGCCTTGTCGTCTGTCAGCAACGGCCACGAAGAACTAGCTTAGTTTTATTACATCTCTCGCCTCTATCTTTTCGCGATTCGACGAGCGAGCGAGGTCGAGTTCTTGTCCAGGAATTCCGACCCCTTTCTTTCACTTGCTCATTTCCGCGAAATAAACCCCTTGATATATCATCTCTCTGATTACTCATTCCGTAAAACAACACGAATACATAAATATAAATTATTTTATAATTAAAAGTCATAACGTTTCTCTTTAAGCAAATGAAAATAAGAGAGCACTCTATAATTCAAGTAACGTTACACTCTCATTTTATTCATGTAATAATGCTGTTGTAATAACACGCGTGTAATGACACAAAATATTATATTAGTACAGGATAAAGGATTTAAAAAATGATTACACCTTGGTCGAGTAAAATTATTGAATAAAATATAATATAAAGAAAAATACGCAAATTAATCTTAATACTTTCACGATAATGATTATTTTCGAATTTTTTCTTAGGCGATTAAAGCTCTTTTATCACGTATAAACTTAATACCTAAAACCATCGTTACTTTCGACTTATCCTTTGTTACGTACGGAGTCGCTTGCCAGGAGTCTCCTCTTTCAAACGCGAACGCGTCTCTTAAATTGCATAAGACAAGAAGAGCAGCGTCAAAGTAGCTCGTCACTTCTCATTTACCGGAAACCACCGTGGCTGATCCGCGCTTTCCATTTTTCTAGGAGGCAGGAAGAGCGGATGAGGTGGGCGTCGAGCTCGTTAACGCACGCAGACGCTGCGACGGGAATTAATGTGTCAGTGACCCGTTTTAGGGTCACGGTTCGTTTACCAAACCCTATCGCGTTGATTGGCCGATTCCTCGGTGTTTTCTTATTCGTTCTCGCACACGCTGCTATACGCTTCGACGAAGAAGGGACACGAAAGAAAGAGGCGTCAGATAGATAAAATTCTGATTGGTAAAAATAAGAGTCGCCGGACTCAAATAAATCCTACAATAGTTACGTTCTGAATGAACATTTCTTGCGTGCTGCACGAAGATCGAGCAACTTTTTACGTCTCTTTCCGGGAAAGTGTTACAAAATATGCCAATGTTTTTATCTCGACACAGCTCGTATTAACTCAAGAAGAGATTGGGATATTTTAAATATGCCATTGGTTCGTTTGATTACATGAATGAAAAATGATGTATACTTTGTAAAAAAAAAAAAAAAAATTAATAATATATGAAGAATTTTTATTTTATGATTAATTAGCTTTGAGCGTAATTGATAGAATATTAACGTCGTTTCGATTGATTATTATGTTCAAAAATTGCGTTTTAAAATTTTCTGGTGAAAATGATGTCACTACAAGATATTACATCATCGTCATACTCAACAAAATTAATAATTCGCACCTTTCGCGCGTCTATGTAAATGTGTGTTTGTGCATGTGTATGTCGACAAAAGCAGGAAGAGTCAAGAAAAATGTGATGTCTCGCCAGGCAACGTTGTTACTCGGCATCCTGCGGCGACATTTTACAAATCGCGTTCTCCCGGCATGTTTAATTTATCGAAATCCCGAGGGAGAAGCCAGCTGCAATGTCCATTTGTCAAGATCCGGGCGGCGAAACTACGCCGCGATGACGTCGCGTACAGCTGAACGGCTGCTTAACTCCATAAAAGCAGCACTGTTTCCCACGCGGATCGTTAATCTATCGTTTATCACGTCGGAGCAACTACGGTACATGCGTGTTCCAGTATAATAAATTGCGGTTGAATTTTGAAGGCGAAGCGGCACGGTCGAGGTCACCATCGGCCGAAATCCATGGAATATATCAATACTCTATCGAGAAAGAATAATATCAGAAAAAAATGTTTTCTCAAACCAATGGCTACCATCTGACGTGGGTTCTGAACTTATCCGCGGTGAAAGCCCAAGGGGCTGGCGAAATCTACATTTCAATCAAATAAACGGAGGTCAAATTGTGCGCAAGCAAAATTTCGATGTAATTTTTACATGAATTAGGAATTAAAAAAATTAGTTTTTAATTTTATCAAATTACTTTGCATTTATACATGTATGAAAAATATTTAATCGCTTCATGATTAAATACTATTTTTCACAGGATATATAAATGTAAAATAATTTGATAAAGAGAAAGGAGCGGCAGGACTAAAGTGTTGAATTTAACAGTTTTTTTCTTACAGTCAGCGTTTGCCGCACTTGCCGGCGTTTACACCACCTGTTGAAAAACACACGAAGTGTTTCCATTACTTTTGCAGAAACTCAATATCTAACTCGTCTTTCTGAGGAATTTATTCTCGATCTACCTACTCGATTTATATTAATAAACCTAGAGCTTTCCCGAATTAGATGTGAATATGTCATGGTCTGATTAACATGTGCCAGAATCTTTGCTAATCTTGTGTTAGTCTAAACTGAAGAGATGGATCGTCGGAAATGTGTAACAAATAATTTTCTAAAAACAGACACTTTAAAATGTATGTCTCGAATAAATTATCAAGCCCGAAAAACAGGTCAACGACGAAAAGAATTCTTGTGCTATATGTTTTAGATATATTTGCTCAATGGTCTCTTTTTGATAAAGAAATTTCATTCTTATTAATCCTTAAATAAATTATAAAATTAAATATCATAATTTATTAAAAATTGAAAACTAATGAAAAAAATACACGTATTGTTATTAAAATGTACAACGTAATCATACCCATCTTTAGTAATATTAAAAAATATAAACTGTATTATATTAATGTGAATTATGTATGCTTAATAAAAAATTATAATTTTGTCATATATAATGAAACATTCATCAATTATATATAACGATCTCTCTTTCTGTTACAGATGGAATCAAATCGAGAACAGATTATTTTGACACGGAAGAACATTTGTAACATTTCGTCCCGATCTATAAAATTTATTGACGAAATAATTCGCGTAGAGGGAAGACCTGTTGAAGAGAGAAACGGGAAAATAAGAGATCAACGTTGAAACCAGGACAATGACCGAGTCGTTGGAAACTCATAACGCCTGGAAATGATAGCGAGAGAAAAGAGGGTGAGTACTGCAATATTGCACACACTCGGTAATAAACTATTCCGCGGTAATATTGTGGCAGAAGGACAAGGAAAAAAGGGCCCGCAGACATTACGGACGTTCGCGTAGACAGAGTAATTCACGAGGGGAATTTCATCGTCCTCTTTAATTGCCATTTATATTCGAGGACGTGGACGAAGCTCGCGGATTAGGGAAAACACGTCTTCGTCTGAGATTATACGATTTGAGATAAATCCTGAATGTCTCGCGCGCGCGCGAAGAGCGAAATATCGAAATATTATTCCACGAAGATTATTCGTTCGAATCTTCCGGTGGAAGTCGGGAGAGGCAGGTAAGTGATCGATTTAGATCGAGACGTTAGCCGCTTAAAAGATTCCAGCTCGTCGATCTCGGGAATTGAAGCGGCACAAAGAGGCGGAGTTTGTCGATAAAAGTGTACGTTGATACACGGTTTTTCGAAACGTTATCGAAACGTCGCATCACGAAAAGATTTAATTCGCACGTGTCCTCGGCATCTTCGGGGAAATAACGTCGAGCATATCGTTCAGTATTCCGAGCATTCGAAGGAATCGTCCTTAGAGATAGGGACGCGCGAAGGATTACAATTTTAAACTCTTTTCCCTCCCGTTACTTCCGCGTCTGTCGAAATGACGTTTCGATTCGAGACTTGCGTGTGTCGAGATTAAAATATACAAAACATTCGAGAAGATGGTAAAATCATTTTTTAAGTATACATAAATTATTTTAAAATTATTTTATATACATACCTAAATTGAAATAATGCATAAATTGCGCAAACTTGACAGTTCGAAATTGTATTTCTCAGCTTTGATAATTTATTATAATTTATTTATTTTATAATTTACGTATAGGATGAAACTACGTCGCTGATTTGTTTTTTAATGAAAGAAGAAATAAGACGCGATTTGAACGTTAACGCGCGCAATCGCTCGCGGATCTGAAAAGTGTTCCGAGTCAGCGCGGTCGAAGAGAAGTTTCAACTAGCCATTCGACATAATGAGGGGTTATCTAAGGAGACGAGTCCGCTCGGTTCGTTTCGGTGTCGGGGAATTAACGATCATCCCTCGTGCGTTTGCATACAAAGTGCATTCTCCGCGCCGCCGGCTCTCGTTATCCTTTTTACTGCGCGGCGTTTTCCTCGGGGGAGCTCTCTGCGAATGCGGGACTCTCCGTCGGGAATAGACTCCGGCGTGAAAGGAATTAAATCGTTATCCATATCCGGGATTCCGGGACGTCGCCGCCGACGCCCGCGTTACATTTACGGCGCTCAGTTTACTGACAGTTCGCAGGTTTACAAACTTGGGCCGTGGTGGGATTTTCGTTTTATTGCGTCTTGTACACAGAGGCGAAGTTTGATGAAATATTGTAGCGTCGTTTGTCCCATTACTCACGAAGCGAGACGCACGAAGGCGAATGCACTCGCGGAATAATATCGCAGCTCGACGATATACGAATGACGCTAAACTTGCACAACTTGATGGATCCAGCCTCGTACACAAATTTTATCTTTAGTGGAACTTCTTTACTACGAGATATAAAAACCGCTCTCTAATGCATTACATATATACAACGTGGTTTTATCGGTGTTTCAGCATTCTTGAGGACTCATTTTGAGTGAAAAAGTTCATGTAATTTCTTTTTTTTTTCTAAACGCGTCAGGCTCTAGGATCAGTGCGTGTCTGCTTTCATCCCGCGTGGATTAACCCCTCTCTGTGAAATACACCTTCCGCTTATCTAAAACTTTTCTTGATCAAAATAACATTATATATTAAGTAGTGCAGGAAGTTGCAGGACGTTGTTTAATAAAGACCAAGAAAAAATTGTTAGTAAAGTTGTTAGAGTAGAAGACCAGAAATAAAGACCAGAAGAAAGTCGCATTATGAACGGCGCTGCTCTTGTCACGGATAGTTTTGGCTCAAGGAGTATGTGAAGTTAGCCGCCTATTTTTATATTTTGAAATTTTAAAAATGGGGGGACTAACTTCACATACTCCGGCTCAAGGTAGGTCGGCGTGTGCGGTTGACATACGTGTGGAAAAGAACGATTTTTAAAAATCGTTGTACAGAAAAAAATTGCAAAATAGATCCATTGAATGTCTGCCATCTATAGCGAAATGTTTATTTGCTGAAAAGAAATTTTTAAGAAGATAATAAAAAAATTAACACAATTTAAATAAAATTTTTAAAAAAATAGTAAAAAGTGGTATAAAATTTGCAAGACTTGTTTTGATTAATCTTTACCCTTTTCACCTAATAAATAACAAAAGCACTACTCTTGTTCAAATATTTAGTAATAATCTTATTTTGTATTCATAAAAATGCTTATTTTTACTTTAAAATTCAGAGTGCCATAGCTCCATAAATTTTCAATTTAGAGAACCCTTGTTAATATGAACTTTTTAATTTAAAATGACCTCAGGAGTGCTCTCTTGAAACGAAGTAAAACCTCGTGAATCACTTTATTAAGTTAGCTTTGAGTTTTGTGTATAGTATGTATTTTTTTATATAATAAGTTATATATATTTTAAGAGATAAATAGCAAGATTATAGTCTTTTTTTAATCAATATTACGAACTTTATTTCAGTAATTTCGCCGAGAACAATTTAATTGCTAGCTAGTAAAGTTCAACTTTACTCATTTTCGTTATGCGAGTCGTAATTTCACAAAGTTACATGGCGCCGACAATAATGCGGGGTAGTCTTATCAGAATAAATTGGCCGACGGTTGAAGACCTGCTCATAGAACTTATTATGAAAATGTCGATCAGAATGAATCTTATCAGATTAGTCGTTTTTTCCCTCCAGCAATCGCGAACGTATGTAATAATTATGTTAAGTTATGAGTCGCTTGTTACATCCCAGTTGGGCATGTTGGGAGCAACATGAGTTTTTGGTGTGTTTCTAACCACGTGTACGTGAGTATGGATGCGTGCTGAAACGTCAGACACGTCGGAAATTACGATTGACTGTCGTCGTCGCCGCGAAGCTGGCGGAACGACAGAAGTTTCGTTGGACAAAAAGGATCTCGCGGACGGCGTGACAGCCGCGATTGAGCGCTCCGCTACGTCGAGTGTCAGAAAAGTTGGGCGGATGTCGGACAGGACGATGAAACTTTCCCGGAAGATTAACCGTCGTCCTAAATCGCGCTCGGCAATCGGACACCGCCGCTCGTATATATCCGCCGTGAAATCCGGTCCTCTCCTCCGGTCTCGTTATATCAAAAAATTAAACGACATTGAGACGGATATCTCCGTCGGCGAAGACGGATCTTATCCTCCAGGACAACGTGGCGCGAATTTTTCTTCCGGAAAAGTTACCCGCGGTAAACGTAATCGTCTACTGTTAACAGTTGTAGTGGTTCTTTCGTTTGATTTGGTAAATCGAATTAAAAAATGGACGAGTATTTATGTTTCGAAAAATTCAGATGGCATCAGAGAACATTTATTTTTATCAGAATCTTTGACAGTTAAAAAATATTTATGAATATTTTCAACAATTTTAAAGATATAAATGTAGAAGAATTAATAAATGAAAAATAAACTTCTTTCTGATTGTTTATGAACTTTTTCGCGAATCGCTTTAATTTTTTACTCTTCATATTTTTATATTTTTTCGAGCATTTCTACCAATAACTTCTCTCTCGCGAAGCCGTGTAATGAGAGTGTAAATTCGCGGCAAGTTCTCTTAGTAAATAAACGTTACGATCCTTGACGTGTAACACGTGCGGAAATAAGAAAACTCACACGTGCAACTTGAAGAGCGGTTTCGTCGTATATATGTGAAAATGTACGGCATGTGGTTTGGAATGACTCACTGTGGAACGTTAAGTAAAGCTATAATAGTCTCTTAGTATGCAGCCTGCAGCTCGATTATCATCACGTGGACGTAATATATCGAAATTGTGAAGACCGAAATCGGCCGTAATTTGCTTATGTTCTCGCCATACATTTATAATATGGCCATTTTTGTCTACTTTATTACGATCACGATCAGATATATTCGACAAAAACCAAATAAATATGCGACGGGAAAATAAACTCTACAACGAAAATTTCTTGATGTTCTATTTTATGGAAGAATGGAGACAATCTTTGGTTTTAAATTTTCGATGGCAGCGTTTAAATATGATGAAGAGTTGCGGAGAAAATACGATGGAGCGCTGACGAGTGCAAAACGTTCATTTGTTCCTCATAATTTCAATATGTCTTATCTTAGGGCCATCTTAAGATCGGGGCCACTGAATCTCCTTAGTCGTCGGTTGAAACGCGATGTCGCAGCCATGCAAATGCCCGGCTTAAGCGAACGACGTTACAGCTGTTTAACCGCTTAGGAAAATGCTGCAACGTGCTCGCGCGGGAGTAAGCACATATTTTTCAAAAAATAAACACGTCGCTAACTTTAAATTGTTCCCCGATAACTACAATTTTATCCTCTACAAGCGCAAAAAGTTAATATTGCGGCATTGAGACGGGTTAACATTTGCATGTAAAAGTAAAGAGGAAGAAAAGACGCGGAGGAGAAAATTGAAGAATATAATAATTTTGCAATTTTTCTCCTCTTATAATCATCGCTAAAATATATTTGCGGGGAAAGTTTTTTGTGCTTGTTCTTGTGCGAAAGTTAGGCGTGTTTTATCGAGAATGCATTTTTTCGAGGATACACTATATTCGCGCATATTTCACGAAAAAACGCGTGATCTATCTTGTCTAGCTAGCTTTCGTAAAAAGTCGTATATCTACGTTTTTACAACATTTTCAAACTCGCAAAATCAACACGCGTTTTTGTAAAAGAAGAGAAGCTGACAGGCCTCGCGAGGACTTCCGTATCGATATTGAGATTCCCCGTTGTGCAAAGAAAAAGCGACCGTGACAGCGGCACGAAGTAAATTGAATTGTTAATTATTATCTTAGACGGCAATGTCGGTAGGCATGAATATTTATGGACCAGGTAGTCCGCAATTTCTTAATATATGGACGTTATACTGAATCCTTAAATCTATCTCGACACCGCCGCGGGAGGTATAATGAATTTAGAAATTTCAGATCGATTATTATCATATTATATTATTTTGAAGAATCGATGGACACTAAAAAGTCGCGGTTAACATAATTTCAGAAATAAAATAATATCGTTCATATTTAGTAAAGATATTTTCTCATCATATGATTTTCGATAATTGATTTTTGACCTTCGTCATCGTTCCGCATTTGTCAACATCAAGTCATCTGTCATAGGTGACTTCTCGGATACCGAAGATAAATGCTCTTTCTAATTACATGGCAGATAAATTGCAAAATTTATTGCGATTTGAAACTCTGCAAAGTAACTATGATTTAATATTTCAATTAATATTTGAGTATTTTTAGTATTATTTAATATGCATTCGACGTATATTTAAAAAAATTTTACAATTCTATGGATGATTCTTGAAATATTTAAGATACATTTAAAAAGTTTACTAAATGTACAAAGTAATAAAGGTGTAAAGAGTTGATCTGAATTTTTTAGTAGTTGTAAATATCATATATATTTGTTCTGATTTTTTTTCATTGTATTTAATTATTATTTGCCACAGTAGGAATAATTTTAAGCATTAGCCAGTTAAAGAAAATGAAAAGAAAAATAAAATCTTTGATTTAAAAAAGTTTGCAATTTTGTTTACAGAATATGCGAATCTTTTTCAAGATTAAATTATAAAAATTAATCCGCAGTGAAATGCCGAAAACTCCTGCGTATTTAAATACATTCATCGCTGCGATTTCTTGCTAATCGTATTACATTTTTATTTTACTGTGTGCCGGTGGAAAAATATATTCTGTCTTTCTAATATTATTTAGGGAAATAAAAACTATCGTCGATCTTGTTGAAGTTTACATTCATCTGTCGACGTGATGATAATAAATTATGAGATAATTTCATGGTTGTGCTTCAACTTGTATTAAAAAAAAAAAAAAAAAACATTGATGATGATCGGTGAATTTCGGAGTTTTGTTTCGACGTCAAAAAATGTCCATACATTGATTTCGGAATCGAGTACTATTTCGCGCAGTCCGAGTTGTTTAGCCGTGGTAGAGTTAATATTCCCCGGCGAGAACGGACGACAATACTCTCACGTGCGATCGTTAATATTCATAAAGCCCGAAGTAGTTCGAGTACGCTGTTATTTGGATCTGTAACACGGCCTGTGCCCGTGTAGATTTAGTAGATTTTCCCTGTTGCAACAGCGACGAGAAATCCATAAGGCAGACAAGGACAGAGGCGAGGCTTGTACTATATATCGCGAGACGAGATTAATAGATCTTGAAAGTCAGAGAATTTGAAGAATCCGAAGAATCAGAAAGGATTATATATATATATATTTCCTGCTTTTTAATATCGCTACATTTCCCGCTCTCATCTAAATATATTTTTCCAAATAAGATAAGAATACTCGGGAACAAGACACTCTATAAGCGCGCAGTTGGATAAGGCTTATTTGTTCCCACCGGGGGCTTATTTCTCCATCCTCGGATTTATCCGGCTTTATAAATATTATGTCTTCCCAGAGATAATGTTCCCAGTTTGCTTTCGTAATTAATCATGACGTAGCTTTACGAATTAACTTTTCAGACGACGAAATCCCGCTTTTTACGCAAAGATTCATTATCATACGTGTCTTCATTTAATCACTTTATTGCAATTATGTTAGATCGCACGAAATCTCAATATCGTTTAAAAAATAAAGAAAAATTCACGAAATATATTTCTGATTTTTGAGAACATTAATTTCGCAGGAGCTTCTCGTTTTCGTTGATAGACATAAATTAATATAAATATTTTCAGATTTTTTGTAACATTAAATCGACGTCACGCAATATTTTCGACCACCTTTATCTCTTCAGACACGCGCAATTCCTTTCATAAAATGTCTGCTGCTTGCGTAAAAAATGAAGGATAACGGGTCTTCTTTTCATGCCGAACAATGAGTCTCCCTTTCTTTCAGCTGTTCGCGCGTGACGAAGTTTCTCGGAGTGTCAAAAATAGAATAAATCTGCACGCGCGCGCAGGTGCGCGACATGTTAAAGGAATTACTTCGTAGTTGCGGATGCGTGTTCCGCTTCCTGATAATTCCTTTGATCAGCGTGTGTTGCGGGAGCTTGATTGTCTTCCCGGCAGGATAATCAAACTTGGACGATCCCTTTTTTCTCACCGTCTCTCTCGCTGTACCTCGATGTATCGATCATTGGACTGTAAGACAGCTCGCGGAAAAATCCTTTTTTCCGCCTCAGTCATTCATGATCTACGCAATTTTATCTCAATTCTTCAACGTTAAAAATATATTCAGTGTCAAGTTCTCGAAGGATACCTTTCAGAGAGCCTTTCAATATCCGTGTATCCTTCATTCAGCTCCGATAAATATTTAAAAATGATTTTTTCCTCCTTGGTCACACACTTGTTTCGCATTCTCGTCACTTGCCAGATTTAGCGAATTCCAAATAAATCGCTCAGTGACGTCGGTATCTTTCGCTCTTGAAATAATTTGGCGAAAATACGAGGATTTGGACTCCATCTGGCGCGGTAGAAGAGCCGCGTGTTTCAGTCGTCACAACAATAGGCACGAGAAGCGAGAAGAAGACGAAGAAGAGAGAAGCGAAGGATACAAACGACCGCTTATCTGCCGTGCGTGGCATTCGTAAACGAAAGCCAGGATGGAAACAAAGTGGGTCACGGCGGGAACGTCTCGCGAGAAATGGAAACGACGTATCAATAAACGGTCATGGCGCAATAGAACGACTCGGGATCGCGACGATCGCGCTTTAACGATGTCGTTTCGCGGGATGTTCAGCCAGCCATTAGGGGATGTAAAGTCGACGACGTCTTCTAATGAATGTCTCGATGACAATGCTAATATATCAGCTGTTTCGAACCGCGCCTTCTTCCTCTGCGCAATATTTCCAGACTCGAAGGCACGTTCCTTCGCGCATCCTCTTATCCTGCCTGCATCCTTGTCCTCGTCCTCGGCGACGTACGTCGCGCATATCGATGCACCCGCTCCGCGTGACGAGCACGTTGCACGTTGTTCGCTTATTTGCATACACGTCGGTGCATACGTGATGCGCGCGACACGGGAAAGGCTTTCGTCTTCCTTTCTTTCCTTCCTTCGATACGACGAGCGCCGTGACGGCTACCATCGAGAGATGCTAGCTTTTCGCTCTGATATCTGATGCCGCTGGAATTTTGATGCAAGCTCCAGCCGCCTTATGGATACGTATAGACACTGGTACACTGCACGTCCGCTTATCTAACGAAATTGGCGCCGACTTCTTCGGAATTCTAACGACGACAGGGACTACTCGGCGCGCGTGCACTTTCTGTCTATTTGATTGGCCATAGCGAATGGCACGAAAACCATCGTCTATCATAAGGGTCAGAGAGAATCTCCGTTCAATTTCTTCATATTTTATATATCATACGAGATAAATCTCCTAGTGCAGAATTTATAGAGCTTGTCAACAGGTTTTAGATAGTTATTTCAAGAATTCTCTTTTATAATAAATAAGAAAAAAGTGTGAAAAGATAAATAGAAATGTAATTTTTTTATTTAAAGTCCGAGACAATTTCTTTTAGAATTACTAATTAAATTATGAAGATTATTATTATGATAAAGAATTATCATTAACGCGGGCAATAATACAATATTGATTTGTGTTGAAATAATGTAAATGAAAATAATGGAAGAGATATTAATATTAGTATATCACAAAAATTAATTAATTAAAGTTATAATAAGAGAATTATAAAACATTATTTTTTCTCTTTTTTAGTTATTTCTATTGGTTCTTTTTTATTGATTACAGGACGTTTTGCAAATACAAATAACCTTCGTGCTTTCTTCGGATAACAGTGACCAGATATAAGATATAAGATGACTTTTGTGAGTAATAGATCTTCGTTGCGAGTTTCTTCCTTTATACGTAAGTAGATATCTGAATTTCTTGTTTGATGGCAAAATCAACAAGTGATGGAAACTCGAATTACGCCAAAGAATTATATCAGTGAGATACTCTTAGAATTTTATTCTGTCATTCCTATTATATACGAATCTGAATCACATGTATATATATATATATATATATATATATATCTTTTTGTATGTTACAGATTTTGTTGCATTCCCGATGAAATTTTTATCACAAACGAATTAAATCTTATCGATGAGTATTTTATGTACCTCTCTGGTATCTTTAAATATTTAAGAAAAATATAATAATAATAATTTTCAGCTTTAACAGTATTTTTTGATAATTTCGAACATGACTTGTAATTCAAAATTACATTTTTATTAGATCGTTGCGTTTAATGTCATACTTCAAAAATTGCAGTTTTACGGAACGCTCTTTTATATAATCTCAAATATAGTAGAGTCTTAGCAGGGTTAAGCGATTATGTTTGATAAAATTATTTATTATCGCGCAATGCAATTTACGCGATTCGATAACGGGCTATCACGTTATTTACAATGGCACTTTCGAATGAGATTTGATTAGCCGTTACTCGCGAATTGCTGGTTAAATCATTAATCTTGATGAACAGCCGCTGGTGAAAGCGGGTGAGAATTTTCACGGAGGATAGACGTGTCGGCGCATCCGGATACCAAGTTTCTTGATAGATACCGGGATCAAGGGCGGAAACCCGGTGCCGGAAACTCGAAGGAAAGCGATTAAAGCCCAGAATACACATATATATGGCTATAGGTAATCAAGAACAGAAAAAGGGAAAGAGAGAGAGAGAGAGAAAAAAAGAATGAAACAGAAGGAGAGAAAGCCATGCGGAGCAAGCGAGATCATATCATCATATCCGTCCTTCTTTCTCTCTGTCTCTTCTAATCCCTTTAAACCCTGCTAAGGCTGCATTTCCAACGTCTCGCATGTGTGCGAGAAAATTGAGTAAAACGGAAATTTCGGGCGATTTCTTGCATCCGGGCGCTTGCCGATATCGAGGTAACTCTATCGAGTATCGATATCGAATTGGTACAACATTGCACCGATCTTCCACGGTGAATTTCGCGATACTCTTAACCGAGAGAATTTCGATGCAAATTTCACACAGAAAATTTCGCAGGTCGCATAATTTTTCAGACTTATAATTTTATTCGGACTATAGAAAGGTATAGGAGAGAGGTCGTTTGTATTTTGATCCCTCATTATTTATAATGAAGCGCGCATGTAAATCGCGTTTATCTCTGCTGGATCTAATAAAAGCTCCAGAATTCCTGTTAAGATTCCACGACAGAATATAGAGGAAAAGAATTCAGCCCGATTGGATTTAGGCGGAATTAAGCGAGCACGCGCGAGACAATACTTTCGCTGAGTGCGAGCACAGGGTATCTCGATGGCATAAGCCACTTAGAGCCTAGAGCTTTGCACTCTTGCGGGATTTCGTGTGTGCACAGCGCCTCAGGGTCTATATTCCGCGGCTCCGCAGCTGCGACGGAGTTAACCGGGAGGAAGCCTCATATACGCGGGAACGTGTTACGGTCTATAATCCTTAAGGAACCCGACCGGGCGATAAAGACACGGTTCGGGGACGTGTCTGCCCTCGAAGCCAGCGGAGAGAGAGAGAGAGAGAGAGAGTGCCGTGAATCCGGAGTGCCATTCGAAACGGCACGGCGCGCCACGAACCCAACGAAAATACCAAAATCGAATTGCCGAGTAATTTCCTCCCTAATGCACTGGCCTCGTTGCCCCGGAAACGAGCGCGGACGTCGGCGGCGCCGCAAAAACCGCCGAATTTTCTCTGTCCCGTGAACGGGACCGGGAGAGACAGCTCTCGCCACGAACACGTAGCCCGTCCCAATCTCATCCAGTCCTTCGCCCGGTTGTTCCCGAAACGCTCCTCTTTGCGAGCAATCACGTTCTGCATACGCGGATTTATCTCCGCCACTCTCCGAATTGAAAAATAAATTAAGGAGCTAAGTGTTTTATATCACGATTCTGAATTATATGTATATGTATATATAGAAAGAAAAGAGTTGCGATTAGAAAATGTTGATTTTTTTTAAAGATATTTTTGTCGGTAATTTAAAGATCATTTTTTTAATTAAAGAGCAGAGATGTAGAAATTAAATTACCAAATTAATATATGCACTTTTATTAGTAATTATTTAGAATTATATTTAGCCTTCTGTTTTAATATTATTATTTGCAACTTTTCAGCTTAATTGTATTATTAAAAATTAATATTTGTGAGAAAAAATATTATTTATCCATTTATTTAAATCAAAATTTACACATTTCTTTTAATGCTTCTCTCTTTTTTGTATAAAATGTATTTTATCTCAATTTTCCAGCAATTTCTACTTACGTTGAAGACAAATTAAGTCATCGATATCGACTATCATGGCAACAGGTTCAATGTCAATAGCACTGTTCGTTTGCAAAGTGTCTATATATAAATATACGGAGGCGATGAAGAGGCTATTAATAAGGGTGAAACGCGGTTAATGGACGAAATCGTGGGCGGCATTCGCGGTCGCAAACAATGGCGCGACGCCAAAAAAATAACTAGGGTCGTCGAGGACGAAGCGTTTCGGAATCTCAGCGGGAAAGAAGACGCCGATTATTTTGGCCTTGTATTAAAATAATCTTGCCTACCTGGCGTCTTCAGTATTCAGCGCAACCGCGATGTTTACCAGTTTATAATCACGCAGCGGTATAATATCTAAGATATATCGCGTCTCTCTCTCTATGATGACGAGGCAACTGCCAACTTCAATTTCAACCGCACGCGTTAATTACCAGCTCGGGAATCTCGCTGTTTATTTTCGGAGTAAGATGAGATTTAAGCCGGTTTAACTTGATTCGAGTCGAAAGCGCTTTTCGTGCTCGAACCTGCGTTTCCAAATGGAATATATACTCGATTGTGTTGTTGTCCCGCGAAATTGCGACAATGAATATTGATGACCGTGTCACGATGAAATAGTAGAATTAACGGGCGTAACGATCGGAAGGTTAATTGAGAGTAATGCTCGTCCTTTTCCGGTCGAAGAGAAGCCGCATTAATTCGTGTAACGTTAAATTTTTCACGCACCGGAAAATATCTTCTGACAGCTGCTTCCGGTTACAAAATGCGGACGAGCTCTTTGACCTCGTAGAGAATGGAGAGTACATGTTTTCTTCGAAAGCAAAGGAAGATTAAAACGAGGACGGATCGAGGACGAGTTCGTTTGGAATTTTCTTAAATAAAGTTGACGCTAAGAAAAGACGCGCAAGTGATCGTTCAATTTACATCACGCGGAATTGCATGCATCTCCGATATTCAAATACTCTCGTCTTTTATAGTCACGACAATCAATAAATCCACTTGTGAGAAAATTCTCGTATTTTTTTTTTAACGTAATTCATGACGTGTATTATAATAATTTTTTTCCCCGTTATATATTTTTTCAGGTACTTAATTATTTCAATTGTAAAAATTGCGGATAATCAACGATTAACGATGATGCTGCAGTCGAACGCACGCGCTATTGAGTGTCCGATAATGCACAGCTATGGAAAGTAATGCAATCGAGCTTCCTGTCCCGCTATTACGTAAACATGGAATAACTTTATTAGAAGCTATTACACCGCGCTCTGCTAATGGCATCGCTTCTTCCTCTCCCGTCGTCTGTTATTTCAATGCATCTTGTTCGCCTCTTTCTCTTGTTTAAGAGAAAACGTTACCAACAAAAAGCTACTCTTTGTGAGATTGTTTCTATTTTATCGTCGAGAAAAAATCGAATATATTTTATGACAGAATAAAAACTGATTTTTAAATTAGAAATTAAATAAAAAAGACAATTTTTTGGTCATTAAAAATTATTTCTCCGATAATAAAAAAATTCAAGTAAATAAAAATCTCACTGATACAGAAACGTGAGAAAACGAGGCTTTAATAAAAAGAAAAAATAGATAATATAATGGATAAATGCTCACCTCGCATGTAGATGTAAGCGGTGCCGCGCATGTTTCTCCTTGTGAGAACAACGAGATTCAAGATGTTTCCAATGATGCCGAAGCAACAAATGGTCGGCAGCACGATGCCATAACTGATCCTTCTCAAAGTCGGCGTTCGAGGATCCTCCAGCATGTCCGAGTGCTCCGGCAACAGGCAGATATTTTGAATCTTACTCATGTTGAACACGTCCACCATCTTGCCGCTCTCCCTAGTTCTCTTCAACACCTTTCGCAACTAGCGATAAGATTTCCCGTCCTATCGCCAACTCTTTCGTTCATCCACCATCCGCACATCTCGCTCATCTCGTCCACACAAATCGCATTTAGCTTGAAGAAGCGATCGCGATTTCTCCAAGTTTTCCAGCGACGTGGCGAATCGATGACATTTCATGCGAATCGAACTCGGGAAAAATATGAATACTGAAAAAAATATTAATACTGAAAATTAAAATCGAGCGAAATCGTTGGACCGATTCGACGAATCACGAAGCGGGTTTCACATTACAGTCGAGGAACATCCGTCAAAACTACACCTGTCGTGCAACAGGTGCGACAAAAGTTTCATTTTGCCACGAGAGCACCTCGAAAGTTCGGAGAGTTCTGAACAAGTCTGTCGGCCCGAATAAGCGGCTTTACTACTCCCGATATCTGCGACTGCTTATTTCACCGAGGAATCCGAACGTGTTCTTCCTGACAATTTGTACGCCGCCATCCTCGAGCGGCAGCTGCGTTATTCCACGCTATCCTGAAAACAAACAGGTATGTATGCCACAAATCTAATATATTTGCCGCAACAATATTTATTTCTTCATACTGCGTTTGAAAAATTATAGCTGAGATTCTGTGCTTACGGCTGAAAAATTACTCGCGCAATTTATTTCTATCATATCAAATATTCTACTCTGAGTTGAATAAATTTTTAGTGTCTAACGAAAGAAATAGGCAAAATTTTATTATTCTTTCTTGATTTTCTACATTTTTTTCTCTCTACAATTCTTTTTGAAACTCGGTTTAACACGTAGTATTTAATTTTAGAAATATTATTGAATATAATAAATTTATTTGTTGAGGGAAAGCGAAAGAGATTTATCTATCCTATCACGTATTCCACGTATTTTATGTTCCCGAATTGTGGGACGTATGAAAATGCGAGATGATTGGAAGTAAAATCGAACATCCTCTATCGCGCTAAAGGGACGCTAATGAAGCGGATTTGGGGTGTGATTCTTCGTTGGTTCTGGAGAGACCAAGAAATCCACGGACGAGCGGAGCCGTCTCGTTGCAGGAAGGAAATCGTTGCTGGCAGCAGCAGATTTAGCAGCGCGGATTTAGATTCAGTGGCCGACTCTCCAGAGCTTCCGGATCTCGAGAGTTTGCGGTTCAGGAAACGGCTGAAATTCAGACCCCGAACGAAAATGGATAGCGCTCCCGTCCATCCGGCAGCCCCTTTCCGAATTGGCCCCCTCCGGCGACACTTCTCACCGAGAAACGTGTACCACAAACTCTCTTTCCTTCCCCTCGCGGTAAGTCAGTTTATATTCAAGACGTTCGTTTCCCCTACGAATTCACTCTCCGCGCTAAAATATTTTCCTGCTGACGACGAAGGGGACCAAGTTCGCAAACGAATAATTATATAATCTTGGAAACGCTTTACGTGTAGTCTGTATACGGCTCTAATGTATCTTCCCTATATATATATTTTATGCATTGATTCGCCGTCAATGTGAAATACTAAAATGCATCTTCGGCTGCGCGTTTTCGTAAAGTTCGCGACGGACCGAAGCGAAGTTGAGGCTCGCGTTTCACTTTGGTGACGTTTCCCGGGAAACTTTCCTGCAAGAAGTATTCCGCAAGTTTTTGGGAGCCGCGCCCGAGTTTGCACGGAGAGTTTAGATCGATTTTCTGTAGCGGAAAAGAAAAAATTCCTTTCAATTTCTTATCGTGCTGATTTTTGCCCGTGCGGCTTTTTATTGTATTAAGTTTCCCTTATCTCTTTTCGTCAAAAAATTTCTAAGGGTATACAAATATTTGTGAAATAATGGAAAATATGTTGTTACTATATCGTTACATATAGACTTGAAATATTGTGTAACAATATCAGTTATCGTTGGCATTCTCATTGAAAAAGAAATATTTTTCCTTTCAAGTCGAGACAAAGACCAAGTCATGGAACCCTCGAGAATCGTAAACGAAACTGTAAGAGAGACTTTCACCGTCGCGTTGTAGATTAGTCTGGTGAAGATCAGAAAAGGCTCATCCGCGGCAATTGGGGTTAGTAGCGGCTTAACAACCCTTTTGTGTGTCGCCACTGAGAATTAAATGCGCGGCAATGTTATAAAATACATACACTTTCAACAGTTATTACTTTATATTTTGGGGCGTCAAAAACTTTTCATTATTTTCATAGTAAAGTTGTAAAGTACTAAATCATTGTGCGTCTTCTAATTAATTCTCTAAAGTTTAATTATCGTTCATCGTCTTGATTTTTGATCTTCTAATTCGCAAATATTTATTTCTGCGTGATATCTTGAAAATAATATAAGATCGACGCATTAACATGTAAAAGTAATTAACGATTATTATTTTGTATAAATTTAGAATGCGTAAAACTTTGCTAAATATTATTTTTATAAAATTGTATTACTTATTGTATGCCAGTTAATTAATTCTTTGAAATTTAATTAAATTATTCTTTTGATTTTTAATAACTATGCGTCGCAAAAATTAAAAAACCACCTCGACATTAAAATCATTTCATCTAATCTATATCACTTGATTAATAGTTTCTATTTTAGAAAAGATTTTTACGATTTCTTTTATACATACACTATATCTATCGTGATTAGAGTGCATTAATTCGTCAATATGTTTTAGAATTTCTGCGCGGTATCCTGATTTAAAATGCGAAAATAATCGACTGTCCGTCGTAATAAACTCAAGAATAACTGTTTAAACCTAGATCGTTCGCCGAGACGCGGAGATTACTCGAGCTTCCTCGTGTACGAGGGATCACCGTGATTAATCCATGACCCCGACTTCGGGATAACCTTCCGCAAATCCGCGCGCGTTTTATGCTTTGCTTCGCAAATGTTTCTCGACGGCACAAGAGAGAGAGAGAGAGAGAGAACTCCTTTCCGAGATCATAAACTCAACGACGAGAGCAAATAGAGCGCGCGTGTGCTTCCTGCCGTTTCACGAATAGCTTATCGATCACTTAACCGAGACGCGTTAGCCTCGCCTAGCCCCGGCGAATCTTTCATAACATCTTTCCTCGAGTCGATCGCGCGTTCGCGACCGAAAGGACGACGAGGACGATGACGAGTTCACGGTGTAATAGACTTCGTTCCTCCGGTATAAGCTGTAAACTCGAGATCGGTAGACCATCAAATTGCACCGGGACCAGGCTGATGGAACATGGGGCAGAAGAGATCGCGCTCGCAAGTTCCCGAAACTCGCAGGAGAACGTGACGAAATTTTTAAGTAAATTACAAACGCGTTATACTTTAAGATTTTTGATGTTCTTTGAGAAGCGAGAATTGATGGCTGGGACTCCGATGAATAATTCTGACACATTATTTCCCTTACAATTACGTTACATGAATATTGTATTAGAATATTATTAACATAATGCTTGATAAATATTCAAAAATTGACGCGCGCCTGCGAAGTTTACGTGATTACAATTGATAAAATTTGTGCAGGAAATTCTTGAAATATTTAAATATCATCTTAAAAACAGATAGCTTCCCTTTTAAGGTACTTTATGTCACATTTGCACTCTGCTTCAATACTTAATACACAAGAGTCTATGCAGAAATAAAATGATTTTTTCGGGTCTTGTTTCTGGATGAATAATTTGTTTTCTATCATAAGAGGTCTCAAGACGTATATAAGTTTTATAAAAAGAAATAGCTTGGGTTTTTACAACCTGATGTGTTCTTAGGGGAATGAAAATGTGCCCGCTGAGAGTCAAGAAGAGCAGCGCTTTCATAAAATCGACTTGTCAGATGGAAGTCAAGAAAAAGTCAATGAGGACAAAAAAGAAAGAGCGATAGACAAAATCTTTTTGCGTGCTGATGAGATTGTTCGTCTATTCCCTGGCTTAACGAGCATTGTGAATTTTATCCTCATGATCGTTTTCGCTCTTATCTCTAATCAAACTAAAATAAAAATACGAAAAATAATTGTCAATAATTCTCTCTCGATGGAGTGCGAGAGGAACTTTTATTTACATCCTAATAAACTTACACAATTTGCAGTTGCATAGATACAGAAGTGACTTATTGTATCATATCGCTAATCTTTGCTTAAAAAATTCTACAAAACGATATAAAATAGTGTGTGAGTGGCACGCGTCTCATAACGATGTAGAACGAGCGCTTATGATCATTACGTTAAAACGTTGCAATTCGATCCACGTCGTATACACACGTGTCAGTTGTTATCCGCCGGCACGTGGCCGTCACGTGCATTGCGAAAATATCTCGGCAATAAATCATGAGCTGTTCGGAATAACAGCGGCACGCGAGGGTGAGTGTAAGAAGAAGATGGCATGCACTTTACTTTGTAAAAGGATTTCTTTACGAGATCTTTTTGCGAAAGAACTTAAAAACATCGTCTCCGTTAGATTTCGATTCTTTTATCCTTCAAACTTGGTCTAACTTTATTAATAATGTGCAACACTTTATGTACACGAAGGGAAAAAAGCCAAGTATAACATATTTAATCGATGTAACAAGCAAACACGTGTTAATATTTCAATATATTATTCTTCCTCTTCTTCTTTTCTTTATATTTTTTTGCTGTCATCCATTCTCTCTTTTTTCTCAGTCTCGATGAGAATTGCGTTATCAAAGACATCGGTGGTTACCATTCATCCTATATAGAGGTGTGAAAATATTAAGAGGCGCGTACCAAGAAACTGCAATCGTTCAAATTCTAGACGCGAGCATTTTGATTAATATTATACGGATAGTCGTAGTTGAAGAAACTAGAGACAGGGCACAGAAATGTAGACCCACAGAAGTGTAGAAGTCAACAAATATGTGGCAGTTAATATTTCGGCATAATACATACGACAGGGAAACATAGAGGAGAACAGCCGCGTTGTGGAATTGACATGTGGCGCAAAAGTCCCGCAGGAAACTTTGCAATTTCCTCGACCACGTGCACGACTGTGTCTCGCGACGGGGTGACAAACTCCCGCAAGTTTTGCACCGAGGGAAGGAGGCCTCTCTCTCTGGAGCCCCACTTGCCCGTTCTCGCTCCTCAATCCACGCGGCAGCTGTGACTTAAAATACGCAGCAGCAAAACTCGGGCATGCCAGACATTATGCATTCGCCTTCCGCGGGGACGTCGCCCAGGACGTCTCCGTCTCTCCTGAATCGTCGGAATGTATCCTGGACGAGGTGCACCGAGCGACTGAACGGATCGAGCCGATTTTACAGCGCGTCTTCGCGCCATTCGCTGGATTAGCATAGGTCCTGTACAGAATTCATGACATTCTCACCCCGCGGCAAAACTTTGCTTCGTTTTACTCTATATTTTACTCCAAACTTTTTTCTCTCTCTCTCTCTCTTTGCACGTCTCTTTTTTTCGAAGAGGATTTTTCGTAATCTTAGATTTGTAGCAGTTCAAAATAATTTCGAAAGAGTTGAATTCAATTCTCTTTTCTTATTTCTGCTCCGATTTACACACATGGCGATAAATGCATCTTAAATGTCAACAGCAATTTCATAATTTTTA